GAACTTCGGGGACGGGAGGGAGGGAGGGGATGGTAGGGGGAAAACAATGGAGGGGCTAACAATGTTCAAGAGGAAGTGTACTCATTACCTCACTCATGTAACTGTAACCCTCTGTATAGTATCTTTACAATAAAAAAATTTCTGTTAATATTTTGAGAATTAATCAATGAAACTATAAAAATAGCTGGGCACCAGTGGCTCACGCCTGTAATCCTAGGTACTCAGAAGGCTGTGATTTGAGGACGGTGATTCAAAGCCAGCCCGGGCAGGAAAGTCTATGAGACTTTTATCTCCAATTAAACATCTCCTAAAAAGCCAGAAGAGGAGCTGTGGTAGAGCACTAGCCTTGAGAAAAAATACTGAGGGGCAGCGCCCAGGCCCTAAGTTCAAGTCCCAGGAACAGCACATACACACATACTCTATATAAAAAATTAATGTCAGAAAAGCACAGTGCCAAATTTGTAATCTTTCTATCACAGGGAATATAGTCATACTCTACAAAATCATACCCTAGAGATTTGAATGCTCTAATGAGAAAAAGTGTAGGTGGCAGAGATAAAGCAATTATTATGTAATAGACTCATTATAGATAACTTTACTCATTATAGATAACTTTTAATTGCCTGTTGTGTTAGAAAAGAAACAGCAAATGGATGAGCCAATGCACCCTAGGTGTGCTGTCCTGGAATACCCGCATGGCTCATTCTCCCATCTTTCCACTGGTACCCGATCAAAACCTTCTTGGAGCATAGCTGCCCTCACTACCTTACTGTATTTTTCTCATTTCCACCTACCAGTTAACATTCCATCACATTTATGATTCAGTATCTTTCTCTAGTAACCTTGTCCCATCCTGCCTGGATTTTAATATTAATATTAAGATACCAAAGTATGAAATGTAAGGAGAAATGTAACTGTAAAATGCAACCTGTGTGCTCTTTCTTCAAGTTATTAGATGGTGGCAAGTTCAAGCCAATATCACATTCATTTGCCATCAACTGATTTTTTTTTGTCATTTGATCTGTTGGTGCAGGGACTTTCTTACCATATGAAAATAGTCCCAATACATTGCAACCAAAGTTTATAGCAAAGAAAGAAAAAAGTTTCTTAGCACTTTAAATGATAACTTTGTACCTCTGTGTATCTTGCTTTTTAAAAAAACATAACTTTATCTCTTTTTCTTGATTTCTTTTCTCTTTCTTGTTTTTTTTTGGGGGGGAGGGATTCTAGGGATTAAACTCATGACTCTTTGCTTGATGGCTAACCACTTTACAGCTTGAGCCCCAGATTCTTTTTCAAATTCCGTTTCAGGTTTTTGCACTGGCCTTAGGCCCAATCCCTCTACCTCTGCCACCTGCATTGCAAGAATTACATATATAAACAAGCCACATTGCTTGTAATCTCTACACTCCAGTCCACCTCTAGTAGCTGGGATTATTGGCATGAGCCACAAAGCCAAGCTTCTTAAGCATACCATTGACACAAAAGTTGATATACTATCCCTATCTCCTGGTTATTTTTCAGTTTGAAATAAAATAGTAGTAGTTAGCTATTTTTTTTGCAAATTAAGATATGTATTACTTTAATAAATGTTTTTGCAAACTCTTTAATCGCCAAAGAACTCAGATCCACAGGTCTGGGACTCCTGACCCTTCTACCCAGCATCTTATTGGCAAGTGTTTATAATCTGTATTACAATTACTTGTTTATAGATAACTAGCCTCTATCAGGGATGGGAACATACTAATCTCATTCCCTATTCTGCTTCCAACGTTTTTGGCATTCAGAAAGTACTTGGTCAATTCTACTTGAATATATCATTTGAATGCAATCATGCCAACCACTTTTCCCACTCTTATTCCATTCTACTTTTTTCTTATGAGACTCCCTGTATTGGCATTCACTAGCTACATTGACAATACATAAAAATCATACTCTTACAAAATAGTTCTGGCACACTATTGTAAATGCCTTTAATGTCACAAACTTATACAAAAATTGGTATCACTGTGAAATTCACGGTAAGTATATTTTACCACAACAAGAAAACATCAGTGACTTACATTGTTGGTAAAAGTATGTAGGATCTTAAGTCCTCTTTTATGTTCCCATCCTTCTTTAAACATAAGGTACAAAAGATCAAGCCAAAACCAGGGCATCTTTATTCTTCGATGGATCATATCACTCATCCTATAAATAGGATAAATATACCATCTTTCACATCAGGAACATATATTTCTTGAACACTTACATGATCCTACCTGGTTTACATGAAAGTAACCCCTAAGAATGATATGACCAATGTTCAAGGCTACTAAGTTCTCCATGCTTAGTACTAAGGATTAAGCTATAGCATAACCAATGAAACTGTATCTAGCTAGCTAGCTAGCTATCTCTAGCTAGCTAGCTAGATATCTAGCTATCTATCTACACTCATTCCTCTTTACAGGCATGAAGACCCACTATAAAATGCTATCCACCAATAGATGGCCTGTGATCAGTGCTTGTGTTTCTCTAGAATGTTTTCAACTTCCCAAGGCTGCCTGCAGTTTTGTATCAAAAGTGCAGAGACAAATTTTGCTTTCTTTTACAGTGCAGAAAAAGCAACCAGCTGTGTTGCAAGTGCACATTAAATAATGATGGTCACATGGTTGCCCTGAGTACATCACTCTCATTTCCAGAGACAGATCAGAAGGACTTATTTCATCTCTTTTAGCACCGATCCTTCCCAGAGGCTCTCCTTGGCCTCTCCATCCATACAACACATCCTTGTTTCCCATCAAACTCAACTTGGTCTTTTCTTCCTAAGCCAGGATTTTATAAGTTTATATTGGTTGATTTGATGCTCATTTCCACTATTCATTCTGTTTTGAGTAACACTATAAAATTAGTACCTTGTACAGTGGTTGGCCAATTATACATGTACCATTAATATCTGTTAAAATGATGTAAAACGTGCAGTGGACTTAAAACACATTGCATCCTCATAGCTAAATAAAAACTAAACAAGAAATTTTAAAGTAAACATCGATTGGTTCAGATACAAAAATAATATTTACTCATTGCTGAAAACATAGAAAAGAAAAATAAATAAAAAGGAAAGCAAAATGTTATAATAAAGAAAGGCTAACACTTCAGTATAGCTTCATATAGCTTTTTCCTATAAATATTTTTTACATGCTAGTAACTATCATACTGCAGAATTTATTTATTTTGCTATCTAGTATCACAATGGAATGTCAATATCTTGGAAAACAATCACTTTAAATTGATGTATAATCTCAATTTGCCATGAGTGATATAACCACTCCTCTATTATTAAATTCATGCTTAGGAGAGAGCATAAAAGTGGTGGTATTCACCTCACCCCAGTTTGAATGGCTAAAATCAAGAACTCTAATAACAACAGATGCTGGAAGGGATGTGGACAGAAGGGAACCTTACTGCATTGTTGGTGGGAGTGTAAACTTGTTCAACACTTTGGAAAGCAGTATGGAGGTTCCTCAAAATACTCCACATAGAACTCCCCTATGACCCAGCAATCCCACTTTTGGGCATTTACCCAAATGCTTACAAACAAGACCACACTAAAGCTACCAGCACAATTATGTTTACTGCAGCATTATTTACTATAGCTAAGACATGGAACCAACCCAGATGCCCCTCAGTAGATGAATGGATCAAGAAAATGTGGTATATATACACAATGGAATTCTATGCCTCCATCAGAAAGAATGACATTGCCCCATTTGTTAGGAAATGGAAAGACTTGGAAAAATTATATTAAGTGAAGTAAGCCAGGCCCAAAGAAACATAGGTTCCATGGTTTCCCTTATTTGCAATAACTAATATATGTCTGAGTCAAGCAGAAAAGGTCAGATAAGGTGATGTTAGGGAAATGAACCCTAAGATATGTATTCTTTCATGCGATTGTTTCTAACACATTTATAAGATTATTTCTTTGTTGCTTTGTATGTCCCTCCCCCACAGTATAAGCCCTGCTTTGACTGTATTTCATGTGGGTATAACTTGTGGAGGGGAAGGGGAAAAACAAATCATTTAAATAGGGATACAGGTGGACCCATTACAACAATGAGATGTACAAGTCGTTATGTCGAAAACGAACTTTACAACTTTTGTGGGGGGGGGGGGGATTGGAGGACTTGGGGGAGGTGGGGAGAATGGGAAGGCAAAGGAAGAGGCTACAATGCTTGATAAGAAATGTACTCATTATCTTGCCCATGTAATTGTAACCCCTCTGTACAGTATTTTCACAATTAAAAAAATTTAAAAAAGTGGTGTTATTGACCAAGATGCATTGAACTCATCAAGTGATATGTTGAATTGGAACCTCTTTGTACAACTGCTTAAATTAAAAAAAATCAAACCTGAAAAGAAATAAATGAAACATACAGTTAAGTCTTGAGGTTAAAATTTAATTTACTATCTCATGTTGCTGTTTTGGTTTAGCTTTGTTTGCTTTGTTGTGCTGTGTTGTGTTGCTTTTGAGATCGGATCTTGCTGTATAGCTCAGGCTGGCTTGTATAGCACAGGGTGGCCTTGAACCCTCAATCCTCCTGCCTCAGTCTCCTGAGTGCTAGGATTAGATATTTTTACTTACAATAAAAAATAGACAACACAGACACAAGCAATTAACAATATTTGAAAAGGCTAACTCCTAATTTAATAATGAAAGGAATTCAATTTACCTATAAACTGCACGGACATACTCAGAATCACCATTGCTTTGAGCACCAATATTCTTCCCCATAGCTGTTTCTGTAAGATGCAGGTGAGAAGTAGGTGTTTAAATTATCTACTCAGGTTTATTTTTCAACAGTAGACACTAAAGAGACATGAACACTCTCCCACGTTTTCCAAATGCTCTTCTCCTTTCTTCTGTTTGTGGCTTCTGTTTCTCCTACTTCCTGTTCCTGACAGTCCTTCTCTTCACTTTGTCAACAAGCTGGCTAAGGTCCTCTATTCACTACCCTAAAAGTGCCTGCTGCAGCTAGGGTAGCTCATTTATCAGTAACATTGCCATGAGGAATCTGGGGTCCTTTCTGAAAAGTTCTTTCCATTGATTTTCTAATGAATGGTTATTTTATGAGCCATTTTATCTCTACACCACTACTTGAGACACAAACCAATCAGACTTACCACAGATTATGTCTAAGGCACAAAGAGTGATGGAGAAAACGCAATTAAATGCTTCTTGATCAACGTGCTTCTCAAGCTTTGTAACCAATATATTTGCATGTTCGTTCATGACATCGAAAAAATCTTCCAGGATTGTAAAATGGAAAGTGGGTGTCAACATTTTTCTCCTGGAGCGCCACTTGTTTCCAGTACTAAAAGTACAATAAAATGGTTACAAATTAAAAAGGAGTAATATCCCAAATAAAAAGCCCATGAGGCTTTAGTGAGAATGGCAAAGACAGATATATACAATATTCATATACAGTTACAAGATGCCAATCTCTCGGACACTGATGTATAATACAAATAGTTAAAATAACATTGGGAAAATATGTCTTTAGGATTCTTTTTCCTCATGTCTATGTTCTGAGTTTCTACAAATAAGATTTTTTTCTTCTTCCATAGATACCTTAATCCTCAGATAACTACCATGCTCCATGACTCTGCCTAATTTCCACTGTTGGAATTTTCCAGTCCTTTGGTATTTACTGTCTTTGGCTTGCTGAGCCCTTCCTCCACAAATAGGCCGGAGTTCTATTTCTTCATGAGAGGTCAAGGTGGAGGGTGAAGGTCACTGGCCACTATGTACTTTCGGGGGGGGGGCTCATTGCCACTGGCCTTTCAAGATTTCTCTGCTCTAACTCTGTTGCTCTACTGCACTTGAACATCAGGATTTCCTAGTTCTTCTTGAAATGCTGGCGATACTCATCACTAATACAAAAGCTAGCAATTACCATCTACTCTGGACTTTTACTTGTCAAAGGCAGGATGTTAACAAGATCTTTCTTCCCAGCCTTCTTAGTCTTTCTTTTTTTTCTTTTTTATTTTTTCCCATCTGTTGTGGGCTTGAACTCTGGACCTGTGCTCACCACTTGAGCCACTGCACCACTTCCAGTCTCACAGACTTTCTTGCCCGGGCTGGCTTTGAACCTCAATCTTCAGATCTCAGCCTCCTGAGTAGCTAGGATTACAGGCGTGAGCCACCCGGCACCCACTTGTTAGTACTCCTTGAAAATAGTTTTGCTACTGAAAAATTATCTTCTTTCAATTGCAGGAACAACAACATACTGTAAAAGTAACTCTATCAACAAGAGAGCTTTATAATATACACAGACCTACCTTGTAAGAAGCCCAAGGCCAAGCCATGGCTCTAGAAACTTGTACATAAAGGACTTGTCAATTTGCTTTGAACTGCTTAAAATCACCTTAGGAAGAGAAAATAAAAATATTTGAGAGAAACAGACATGAAAGAAACTTCAATATAGTACCTACTTAAGGTAAATAACTCCTTAAGGTAAATATTTCACAGATTTTACTTTCTCTAGTTCATTTTGAGCAAGTCTCAGGAACTAAATGGAAATGTGTAAAATAATGTCCAATGAGAAACATACCTTACTCATGTAAATGTAACCCCTCTGTACAGCATCTTTTTTTGGGGGGGGGAGTCCGGTCTTGGGGCCTGAACTCTGGGCTTGGGCGCTGTCCCTCAGCTCTTCAGCTCAAGGCTAGCACTCTACAACTTGAGCCACAGAGCCACTTCCGGCTTTTTTCTT